CACACACACACACACACACACACACACACACACACACACACACACACGTATATATATGTGTGTGCGTATTATTACCGAAGGAAATAATTAAATTGTTATAGACTCTCCTGAACCATTATTACTAATAAACTTTTAAATTTCATCCTTTCATGTCCGTCACATGTATTTACTATCATCACCCGTCGTATGTAACATTAATTCTTCTAGGAATAAGTCATTAAATCAAACTATATGAGTTTAGCCAATAACCCACTTTCTTTATTGGTATAACAAATTAGTTATATGTACGTGTTTATATACGTTGTTTAGTTTGGAGGATGTGCCGTCATGCTATGAAAATAAAATAAAATTTATTGAAAACAGATTTAAAAATTGTCAAAAATCAAGTTACAGTGATATGAATCCCAAAACTTATATCCTTAATATATATTTATACTGGATACCGATCAAATAATATTATCTATTCAAATGAAAACTTCTTATATAATTTAAGACATTATAAATAAATATTCTCTTAAGAACCAAAGATATATTGAAAGCAATCAGTCTACCTTAAGTAAATGGTAAAATAATGAAATACAAAGATAATAATAATATGTATAATAACAGAAAATTGTGTTAATCTACAAAAGTTCAGTAATAACGTTATTTTTGTTGCTGCAAAAGTTAGCGCAATCTAGTGGTTGTGCGTTGTGGCTTTAAAGGTTCCGTTTCTTCCAACTAGAGTGTTGACGTGGACTGAAAATAATAATTTTAACTCCCACATATTGAAATGCGATATCTAAATATAGTGATGTATAATGTGCAATACGTTAATTTTTAAGTACTACGAAAATATAATATAATAGGATTCGCTTAACTAATATATTGTATCAATTTGATATTTTAGACGGATAATGATTTAGTGTTCGAGGAAGACCAAGCGCCAAACATCTTAGGCGATTTAAAATTCACTGATCAATCGTCGTCTGGATTGTTGAGTTATGTGCACGGTTCATTGGGGCGGATCAAACGATCGTTATGGTCATTCTTAGGCAACGACGAAACTGTTACAACTGTTACTGAGGCTACAGCACATTCGTCTAGTTCTGACACCGTCGTTTTAAGGTAACTCGACAGATAAATAATTATTAAAAACAATGTAAAACATAATACTTGAGTTATCGTTTGTTGAACCAAGAGAATTATTAATATTTTGACAATTTTTTTGAAAATTAATTTTATCTAATATAAATACATAATAACATAATGACACCTCGATGTTATTTACATTTTGACGAATAATGTACAGTTAAGATAGTTTATTTTTGTTTGTCCATGTGCAACTTTACCACCTACCAGTTTTGGAGTTGGTGATGGGATTAAATTGAGTGTTTTTCATCGTGTATATTTTACGAGTACTTAATTGCTTGAATGGAACATATTGGTTTTTACGGAAACGTCTTTTACCTGTAAAAACTTTTTCAGGCACTAAACAACTATTAAAAGGTCATAATGCTTAACTAAGATTAGGAAAATAACATGGATAGTATTTTAAATCGATAATATTTTTATGTGTAGTATAAATATGAAAAAAGGAAATTGGAAAAAGTCTAATGATTCGTGTAAAAACCGTTTATGATATTACATTTATGGTAAATTTGGTTTTTTCATCTAGCTGTTTTCAAGGTTAACCATATTACATTGATCTTATAGGAAATGTTATCTTGTTGATACTTTTAAATGAATAGTTTTACAAATTCTTAACAGTTTTCAAAATAATTTCAAAAAATTACAATTTAAAAAACGGCAACATTTACGTCATAGAGTTTTCAAATATTCGTTTTTATCGTGATCCGAAAAATAAAAGTCGTAGAAATTTGAAATTTTCACAAGACCTTTATATGACGGTTTGTTTTATATGGAATAATTTTTAAAAATTTTTTGTTTTCTTAAAGCTTTTTATAAGTCATAGAATATGTCATGTTATCTTAATTTTTTTCAAAAATATCGATAAAACGATTTCTGTTTGACTTAGAATCTTGAAAATTTCATAAAAAGTTTCTCGTACATATTTAAGATTATTCAATGGAAAATTAGAGAGTTAAAACTAAAAACAAATTAGGTTAACATTATCGAAATAATTACCAAAAGGTGATTTCATTTGTTGCTGCTTCTACATATGTTTTTGTTCTTGGACAGGCGTGAGAGTCTAGATTCTTAGCTGACAGAGCACGTAGAGTGTGTATTTCTCGATTGATTCGTATTCGTTTGAACCGAGAGCATTTTCTTGTCATAATCTAAAACAATAGCCTCATTTTAAGACGATAAGTCTCTACGGTTAACGGTATGTACCCAGGAAAATGTGTTTCTGGTAAATCATGCATTTTTACACATTTTCGATTTGATCGATTATTTAACGGAATGTGGACTTAATATTTTAGAATTTAAACGAGGCTGCTCAGTTGATATTGAGACAGGTTTTAGAAAGTCATATTTTAGAATGTTGGGTTTTAGAATATCAAGTTTTAGAAACACTGTGTTTTAGAAAATAAAACTTTTAGAAATATTTTTATTTTTTATGCTGTTTACTCGCATATAAAATCTTTTCTAATAATTCTTTTATAATAAAAAATAAATATATTAATTTTTAATACTTAAGATTATTAGCAATAGCTTTCATAAATTCATCTAAATTATAATTAGAATCATCAACTATTCGTTTACATATTTGCAATAAGATATTATTCCGTGTTTCGTTGTATTTTCTTTTCTTGAATACTTTATTTGAAATCAACAGTTCGATTGTTGCTTCAGTTTCATATGGTTCTTTTTGAATTTTGGAGATAATTGAATGTATACCAGGATGAGTTGATAATAAACGATGTATTTTGTTGCGCCAACCTTCTGCTAGATTGGATGTTCTTGGCATTTCGTTCACAGTTCGATTATATACTGACCACATATTAATTGGAAAACATGGTTCGTCGCAACACGTTGCTTCTTTTTTTCTAAACTTTCTTCTAATTTTTCCAACCACGTAGTTTTCTTCAAAATATGTAACTAGATCAATTTCATCGTCATCAAATTTAGATTTCAAAATACCCCACGCTTCCTTCATTTTCTCCGGGGGCAAAAATGCTAAACTTGCAATTTTACGGGCACATTTTGGTACTTTGTAACCAAACCCAATGCTTGGATTTTACCAGATATCAACTGTTGTAAATGGAAAAAACATGCCGAATGGATTGCAAACAGAAATACGGTATTGATTGCATTATTCGCTGTCTGTTCGAAATCGATTATTATTTCCAAATTATTATTTTCTTTAAAAAATATTTTATTTTCTTAAGAAAATTGATTTAAATTAGAAAATGACATATTGTATAAATCTTCATCTTTGCCAGTCATTAATGTAAACACTAATGGAAATACCATTTCGTTTCCATCTCGCGAAATTGATATCTAACAATTGTTTTGAGAATCATCCACACGCAGCTTTTTTTGATTGAATTGCAAATATCGTAATCGTTCGTTCTCTATCTTTACATACATGTTGACCATGAAACTCATAACAAAACTCATACATTGTACAATAAAGTTGTTCTGATCGCATCTAAATATTAACCGATATGCATAATAATCCTTCGAACTAATATTCTTGTTTGTTTTGGCACCCGTTGCGGGATCTTGTTGTTTAATATTTATGCAATATCCGTCATTTAATACCAAAAATAAAATTTATAGTGTTTTAATAGTATCATTTAATAATTCATTTTCAATCGCGCAGTTATCGACTGGGTTAAAAATTATTAAATTAAACTACGATTTATTAAACAATAGCACTTAGGAGTATAAAAAATAGATAAAAACCTATTCGCAGACATACTAAAAGTATATACAGAATTTCATTAAAATCGGTTTAGCCGTTTTGGATGAGTAAGGTCACAAACAATGTGACACGAGATTTTTATATATATAGATATAACTCTATCATAATTCTACGATGATAATTGGGCAATATCAATAAAATAAAATCTTGATAACAATTATTGTGCAACAAAGTATTATATTTATAAATGTTATGTATTTTTTATATTTTCTGTCTTCCTGATCAAAAATATTTTATATTCTAAAACACCATTTAACATTTTTCTAAAACACAAATTTTTTAAAAGTTTCGTATTCTAAAATATAGATTTTTTAAATATTGTCATTCTAAAACTTGGCATTATAAAGCTTGATTTTCGAAAACATGCACCCAAATCGCTCAGTCAGACGACGGACTTGTCAAAAGAGTAAAAGATTAACACGGGCAATTTGCTAATCCTATTCAGAATATTTCAAACGATTCGAACAGTAAAACTCTATCCACTTAGGACCGCTTCCATGGATGCACATGACGAATTGTCACTTTGCTTAGACGAGTGCAAATGTGTAGAACGATAAATCTGAACTCATGAGGTAGACCAAGTTTTTTTTTTTTTATGCAGACTGTATTTTTATGCTTCGGTGTTTGAGAAATATTTTGAAATCAAGAGTGTAAAACCAAACGAGTGCTACGATCGCGTTCTATCATGTGAAAGCTGGAAACTTTTTTAATACATACAAGTGGTTACTTACCATTAAGATTGCTGCCAGGTGTAGAGTTCTAGTCGACCAAGATCTCGTTTTGGGTAGGAGGCTTATCAGTGCCCGAAGAAGGGCGCTAAACATGTCAAGTGACGGAACTACGTCCTCAAAGAGTTGGGTGTTTACGTTTAGAGAAAACATATTTTTTTCCACCGGCTTTCGGAGACAATGAAGGTGTTGAGAGGTTGTGTTTAGATTGATTTTTGTTGCGAGGCACTACGATCCGTTTTTATACAATTACACAACTTTCGATTTAAATGAAAACAATTTTATTTTGTTTTTACCGTAACAAAGCATAACTTTAGTGGTAATGTTAATGAGCCTGATACGTGTGAACGCAGCGACGGGCGACACAGCAATGAATATGTGTTGTATAATTAAAATTACGGACAAACTCATTGGATTTACGGATCTGATGATTGTTTTTAATTTTTTTTTTATTCGTTGTAAATATTTTTTTTAATTTACTTTTTAGCAAACCAATAATTTCGTCTATATATTCTAATTAGATACTTGTTAAAAAGGAATTCAAGGTGAAAATTGATCACAGATGACATCAAATTCTGTTTAAAAATGTTACAAAAAACGATCATTCACATGGCCATTGATTAAATAAACTGTTGTACTTATTTTATAATTCATCAATGATGTAACTGTATTGATCATAAAAAAATAATTTTCGTATCATTTGTATAATTCATTTTTTATAGATGCTGATGTTATTTGACAAAAAAAAATTATGCTAATTCGGTTGGTAGTCATTAGAACGTTATTGAATAATATGTTGTATAATGTATATAGATAACTTTGTTATAATATTTATTAATTAACGTTGTACAAAAAAAAAAAAAAAAAAATGAAATGAAATTAATATCTGAGTATACTTAACATTGACAGTTTTGAATGGTGAATAATAACAGTTCACAAGACTTTAATTGATCATCAATCATTCGAGTATTCAGAATAGATAGCACCGATAAAAAAATTTAGAAATCTAGGTCTAGTTGGCCGAAATAACTCTTACAATAATAAAGGATTTTTTAACCTTCTTGAAATTGTGAAATATTAATACAATGAAATATTGTGGTGTATTCTGTTTTAGAGCAGACATTCACATTTCATCGTGGGATCGTAGTTCATTAATCATAACTTGACTTAATCTTCTTTTCTGCGTATTATACATAATACGGGTGTTGCTTGATTGTTATTATTTGTAGAACTTATGACCATTGAATGGCTCCAAAAGACTTCACTACTATTGTAGCTCTGATTCGTCACCCGGGTATTTCTCGACCAACTCGTCTATGTTATCCCTGACCAATTGACATCGGTCAAATTTTTCCACCATAATCCACTTTTGGGGTCGTGTACACTTCGACTATACGCGAAACGTCCAAAAAAACTAACGTCGGTTATTTTTACGTATTAAACAATATTGTTTATTACTCAAATATATTATTCATAATATATAGTTTTGATCCTCCACGTCAACGGAATATCCTTAATTTCCGGTAGCACTAAATTTCGAACGCCAAAAACATTCGGGTTTTCATACCCGTGTTTCGCGCCCAGAAATAATATATCCTCGTGATAAGCATCTGATTACAACGTGTTGATTTTCAAATAGAAGTATGTATAAAAACAATATACAGGTTTTTTTGTGTTCAAACAAATTGAATATTAATAAAATACATTTATTAAACAAATCCAAGAAGATATAAATATTTATAGTTGCCTGTTTCACACAAATATTTATTATTAACATATTAGGCTGAGTCATATAAAATATTTACGTCTATTTAGATTATTTCTTATCTCCTTACAAATCTCATAATTTTTCCTGTTAACATAAGAATATTTCTGCTAACATTTACATATATGGTGCTAAATTGCCTATAGTTTACGCCGTTCCAATAGTTTTAAATTGATTTGTATTTTTTTTTTTTTAGATTCAAAGCGAATAATTGAATCCTTCTTTATAACTGGTATTATTTATAAAAGATTTAGAATTTTTTACTGAGTAGTATATAAATATTTACAAATTTTAACTTTTTTTCGTAAAACATCTTTGAAATTATATTGGTTTGAAAAAAGTATTGACATTTTAAAACAAAGTTCTTTTTCTTTACTGATTTGATTCAAATAAGCATTTTACAAATAGTTAAATAATACATTTTGACATACGTAAGGGGTAAAGTGATCCAAAACAATATATGTTTTGAATAAAATAAGATTACTCAAACCATTTTGTCATTTCACAACATATTATGTGGCTCATATTTTTGTTTTTTAAACTTACCATAAGAAAATATTAATAATTATTCGTATTTTATTACCTATAATTTTTTTTTTAATATTTTACTTTTATTAAAATAATGCATATTTTATGGATATTTTAATTATTTTGCGAGACTGTAAAAATATTATTATTTTGTCATTACGAGTATTTTAACACTTTTACCTGACACGGTGTCATAATAAACAACATTTTAGTTTTCAGTACTTTTAATACGTTCTGATTTCAAACCATCGTGTAAGTGTATATTATGTTCTCACCGTACCGTAATAGGATCGTTAATTTACCTTGTTATGAGCCTTATACGAATCGTCTCCAGAGACGGTTTTTGGTATATATTTTACCGGAAAAGATGATAATTAGTTAATGTTAACAATGGCTAGTCAACAATAACAATGCCTGATTTAGCAAGGAATAGCCATAAATGACTATCAATTGACGTTAGTTTCTAAAAAAGTAGAGCAATAATGATAAATATTTCAATACTATAAAAATATTATATAAATAAATAATTATTTATTACAACAGGATAATTTTGATTTAATTTTAACTATCATGGTTGCTACCTCTATGGCAAATTGTTGTATTTGTAGAATTTATTACATCGTAAAGTTCTTCATTTCTCACATACACTCTCCGCCGCATTAACCATAGTTTTATTAAGTTTTAATAAATATTCAACAATACTTAACAACAACAAGAATTGTCAACAATTACTAGGATATGATCACAAGTTATGGCGTAATACATAATGTAAACATGTATGCAAAGTAAATACTATAATAGTATAGAATAAAATATAAACAAATGTTTTCTGTTCGTACACGAAGTCATTTATGACTTTTGAGCCCGATCCCTTGATTTTTTCTGTACTGCAATCTTATAAACATAAAGGTAACATTATTATAAATTATAATGCCTTTTACCTCAGCCGTAAGTATACTTTTTTAACCTCCAGGAAAGGTCAAGACCCGGACCCTTTCTCTCACTCCTTCTCTTCCCTACCCTCGTAATTACGGCACGCTATGTGTAAAAACCTTGCATTTCTGGTGACTGACTGTCATCGTGATCGTGACACATAGATTTGCACATTTTCTCACAAGCAGTTATATGTCTAAAAGTTTTATGGGAACCACAAGACTATTTCGTCCCTTGTTTCCCGTTTGCTTGGAGAACCGGCGTAATTTATTCTACTGCACGCCCTGAACGCCGAGGTAGAAATGTTCGAACGAAGAACATTTAATACTGTAAGAGATAATATTATGTCCATGGACACTAATAAAGGATTTCAACAGGTACCTAAGATTATCAGGACATTGTATCGTCTAAAATGTATTGTTATTATTGTCGGCTTAAATATTACCTTACAAGCATAACGATTGTATAACAAAAAAAATAATTTGTGTTACTGACCAATATGGAAAACCACTATTCAGTTTCTGAAATCTGTGTTGAACATATTATGCACGCGTAGAGTTTAAAGACCTGAGTCCCGCCCATGGTTATCTTTTTTTTTTTTTTTGTTGTTTTCTTTTTGTGCGTAGAAAATGTAACAAACATTTTTTGATGACTGCCTGTGGAGTTATTTCTGTAACCGTCCTGTGCGCGATGTGCTGTTCCATGATGTAATATTATGTTTGAGTGACGTTTATAAATCACTATTTGGTGTCGTAACAACGCCCCTTGTTCGCCAGCGCTGCAGCCACACGCAGACGTGATGACGAATTGTTTTGTTCGATCTGTAACAACAAATACAATTAATGACATAATGATAGTACTAAATTTTCATACCGCGTATGCTCAGGGTTATTTTCGTATAGTTCTTAAATCTAAATTTAAATGACTGTTTCATGTCATTATTATATACGTAAAGAAAAAATGCATGCCATGGGTAAGACATGAATTACAATCACGAAAATCATAATTTAATTGTCAGTTACGAATCCCAAAATTGAATGTTTTATGATTTTTGAAGAGACGTTTTTTTTTCTGCGCTGGATACCCTAAATATATTCATGTCATGCCAAAACCATAAGTTATAGATTAATTGCCGAACACCTTTGCCGCGTAGACCCATTTCAGCCCATCTGAGCCAACCACTGGTTTACGTGTTTTATTTTTCGATCAAATTCTGTGTTTTATGTTGGCCGTAGGCACTTATGTATTATTGGATATAGCTAAAAAAAAAAAAATGTTAGTCCATTTATATAGTTACTATAATAAATGATTTCTGCGGTGAAGTATAACGACGTTTATATTTGTAGTAGGTAGATGTATCCTTAATAATTTATATTTTAAGGTCACGTCAATTTATCGTGTTTGATTAAACTCTGTAAAGTTGCATAAAAAAATGAAAAAAAAATGGTAGAACGAAGACTTTGATTTATAACAGTAACTATAATGATTGAAGAGTTAGGTATGTATAATCTTTAATTTTTGGGTGACATCGACATTGCACGCAATCGTGCGCCTTGCGGTTTAAAGAAAAGTGTAGGATAATAATTTGAAAGTTTATCTGGGCAGTACAAAAGATGAATGACGGTAGGAGATTTTATGAGATCGAAACCGATATTCAAAAGGACGAGATACTCAACAGTAGTGCCAGAAATTAACACGCCATTATAGACGACTATAGGGTCTGCAGTACGGGCGCATACGAGTATGTGAGAGTACGAGACGCTTGATTGTGATCGTGTCTGTTGATCAATTAATAAAATAATCATTAACTTAAAATGTTTTTGACCTAAAAGTTACATTGCGTAAAATGAAACCATTCAGTATTAAATTTACAGTTGAGTTTTTTTTTTTTTACTTTTGTTTTTAAAAGAAAACATTATCTATGATGTAGCGTTTTACAATTTTTTTTTTTTAATATTTTCAACGCGGTTAAACAAAAACCTTATAATTTTACAAATATTTACATATAAATAACTTGAAATCCATTTTTATCGGTGAATACATCACAGGTAAAGTTCTTCTTTTTTTTTAAAAAAAAACTTGGAATCTATACTAAGAATTTACACTCATTGGTTTTGTCCCGGGTTAAATAATATCCTGTCGAACAGAAACAATTAAAATCACATACAGCTCATGAACATTTTTCGCACTCTAATTTATATACCTGTTCATCCAATACCGCGATGTTATTTTTTCACTTATACCGAACTAATGTAACTATACAACATAAAATGTATCGACACCTAAATGATTTGGTTGTAGACGATGTCATTATATGGTTATATATTTTGTGCCCCTACTTGTGCATATTATGCTTACGAGTGTTACTTAAGTATCTACCCGAGTGCACGTTACATCTTTGTAAAATATTTCACGCCACTGAATCGAATAACAATAAGTACTAGGTGAACGCAATCATCAAATGCCGTCGTAATCCTTTACATTCAATAAAAGAAAAAACAACTGTTAGGGGTTGCCAATATGAATAGATTCACAAGCCACTTAGATAAATATAATTTTATTATATAATAATATTATAAATTATGTTTATAAATTTAAACTTATACAATTAAAATCCAAAATAATAATATTATAAGTAAATTTTAATTTTATAAATAAAGCGCGAGCCATATCTAACAACGACAAGAGCCACATATGGCTCGCGAGCCGCAAATTGGCCACCCCTGAGTTAGATGCTGATAAACACAAACGATTTCAGTGATTTCTGGTAGCTGCACTATCAATAAGGAAAAAAAATATTCAGAAATTGGATTCGAAATTCATAGAAGACTTGTTCCTACGTAGGAACAAAGAATGAGAATATTTATTTTTATATTATGTGTGTGCTGTTTTGTTTATATATATATTATGTCATGTTGTCACTTGTTGTAAATAGATTAATGGAAAAAGAGTTTTTACGGGTTATCTTTCTTTTAAGATGAACTGATGATCAATTGTAATATTACAAAGTTCACTTGCTAACTGACTTGATTTTTAAAAATATTTTAACCGCCTCTCCCTATCCCGGGAAAATCGTTGAAACACGCCACCAACTACAAAATGTGTACCATTGTTGTTCGTATTTTCAGCAGGGTGACGAGAGCTACGGAAGAGGATGTGGACCCGACGTTGCCGATGACGGAATCCTTCAGCGTGCCCAAACGTGGCGACACGACTATCGAGGACGATGAAGATGACAGTCTGACGTCAGGCGATGGCGATCAATCGGGAGACGGTCCAGAACCCGACGATTCCTTACGGTTTCCGGAAAAGGAAGAAAGCAACCTGATCGTACAAGGATCGGACAAAACTGTGCCGAGCGGTACCGTCCTGAACAGTCTTGTTCCGAACACTGCCTCGGCTGCCCCGACCAGATCCGTTATCACGACCGCCGACGTCACCACCACTACTACCACCACCATCACCACCACCACCACTAATACCCCCGTAACCATCGCTACCGACACCACCATCAGTATCACCACCCCCGCTCATACGACCACCTATTCAACGGAAACCCAGAAGTCCACTTCCGGCCTTTTCGAATCACAAGTAGACGGCAATCAGATCACAAGTGAATAAAAATTTTTTTCATCAATAGTAATAGTCATAATATCGTAAACGTATCACGCAATGATTAACAATGATGATTTTGGTTCTCAAAAAAAAAAATAAATAAACGTTAAAGAGGATATACTGTTAAATGGAAATTAATTATATGGAAGATTCGCTGTAATTACGTTACATTTTTTTTTTATCTTGGGGTAAAGTTAAATTTGCTATTGATACAATTTATGAGTGGTTGTATTTATTTCGTAGACAATTTTTCAGTTTACGCATGATTAAATACATAAATATACATTTTTTTGGTAGAATTACGGATCAAGAAATTCTGACCGATAGTACTTGTATTTAAACAGTTGATTCGCACTCATCATTATTTTATCAGTAGGTTTTCAATTATTAAAAATTATACGATTTTGTCAACAACCATAGTCGAATAATATTTATTGATATAAATCCTATTTCGTATTGCTACATAGCACCCCCTCCCCCCCAAAGCAAAGCAGAGTACATCTCAACCTAACCTTATGTATAAATATAACCAGTGGTGTTCCCATCAGTTTTGTTGAGAGTAAACTACGCTGACGAATGTGTAAATATGGACGTTTTTATAGTTTAGACGGTGGTTGTGGGAAAGAGTTGTAAATATTAATAAATACTGTAAATGTATATAATTTTATTTTTTACAAAAATAGAAATCAAATAATTTAAATTAATTGATACCATCGTATATACATCGTCGTATCGTCAATAATTATTTTATATACACTTATCGTCTAAGGAAAAACTGAATGTCTACAAAATAAGGCTAAAATTAGACTCGAGAGTATACGCAACACGCCAGTGAATTTTCAAATAAATTTTGAAAGTATACAGCGTATATGTAATATATCCTATAGGAACACCATTGTAAATAATTATAAATATTCAATGTCATAGCTACTCAATTGACTGCCCTCAGCGCAAAATTTATTTGGGTATAAATACAATTTCCTATCCACAAATTAACATTTCAACGCGTTGTAAGTACGCATTTTTATTTGATCCATAGCATTCAAACCCTATTACTGTTCATTGTCCCAGGTGGTAGAGTAGCTCAATATTTAAAAACGATTTTCGCGTTAAATCTCGATTTTGATAGCTAATATTTTTTTGGATTATAATTATAATAAATCATTGCTTTCACAAACATAATCAATTTGTTAGCCACATTCTTTATGGATAATCTTTTAATTAACTAGTAAAGTCATTGACATCGTCAGCAAATGTGCTCAAAAGTGTTTTGACACTATATTACTATATAATAAAACAAAAATACATTGACTCGCTAAAAAAAATTCACAATTCATCACTAAATGTTATAAAAGCTTGTTAAGAATTTAATATAGAAAATCATACATTAATAGTTAAATTGTATTTAAAAACGAAAATTAACAAAAACAACGAATATCTTAACTATGCATCAAGGTCTTATTAACATGTAAACGTGAACATATCTCACAAAATATTTATGATGAATGTAATTTTTTTTTTCAGCAACAACTAGGATTGCTAATGGATGTTGTATTAATTTTATTAAGATTTTAATTACATAAAAATCGTTGAGAAATATGTCAAAATGAATAAGTATATAATAGATCAACACTTGGTTATAGCAATAATTAAATTTTGATTAAACCATAATTTAAGAGGTTTTTTTAAAAAATCGAGAGCCATTGTTTACTTTTAAAGTTCAACTTGAATACAAACACTTCATAATAAATATAAATAATATGATAAAAAAAAAAATTTAGTTTACTATCTAAATATTTATACTAAAAGTAGGCACCTAAGTAATTGACAAGTAGAGAATAATATTTACCTCAAAAGATTTATATTTTAAAAAAATACAATACAACGCGAGGATATTGTATATATTACTATTTTTAATACATAAACATTTCACAAATAATATTAAAAGTATTTCTATGAGCACATTTTATCTTAAATTACACGTTAGTTGTCATCCCTTATAACAATTGTTATTTGTATTGATCTACTGCGTTATCATATCTGCTGATTTTGTCTTTTTTATGCTCTTGGATGAAGATTGTTGAAAATAATATAATATAAAGGTAATCCTAAACAATAGATTTATTATAATGGACACCAATGATATGTTGTTTGTTATTTTAAGTAACATTATAATAAATACGATCACGTCTCTGATAAAAAATATTTTTATTATTGAAACTCGTATCTAATATTTCGACGCTAATCATCATTTGATTGGTTTACAGAAATTTTCCGGGTACATTTAACAATCATGGAACCATATACCAAGGACTATGTGGATATGAACAGCGAAGCTTTCAAATGGCTAGCTAATAACATCACGCAGTCACTGGACGAAGCACTGAAACAATATGGTACCTACTCACCGCGAGTAGTAGCAATCCAGTAAGAATTTAATTCAGTTACATATATATTGAGAATAATTTTAATAAATTAAAACACTGGTAATAATGATGACCTGTACATGCAGGTTAGGCATTATTACTGAGTGTGATAATAAGTTAATCATGATTCTTTAGAGTGGAGTAAAAAAAAAAAACAGAATTTGAATTATCAGAACAGTCGAATATTTTAGATTTTTTTGAAGCATTTGTTACATATAGTTTATTAGGAAAATATAATATTTTCTCATCCATTATAATTTTTAATTTTTTTTTGTTATTGTTTTGTATACCTACATAAAAGTTTATAATACATACAATTATACGTGTTTTAAAATAAATACCGTATTTTGGGAAATCATGGCGTACATTTTTTAAAACTTAAATTACTTAGTCAAAAATAATTTTAGAATTTTATAGACTTCACAGGATGATCTGATACATATCTCAGGACAATTTTAAGTATGAAAATGAAAATAAAATAATTCAAATTTGTGTGGCAAAGACAGGCAACAGAGTGAAAATTTTCTGGCAGTGAAAGGGTTAAGACTTAATAATTGATTATTTTATTTTCATCTTTCAGGCCAAGCAATACTGACAAATTTTTCGTAAGAGCAACCGTAGACATTGAATCCGAGAGCGGCGAATCTAAGGAAATGTTAGAAAATCATCTTAAATATTTCATATCCAACTGGAGAACATTCAATCCCAGCAGCCCACTGACGATCGTCGAAGAAGGATTCGACATCGACCAAGGTACATTTAAATACAGGTGACATTAGCCGCCGGAAAATCACTCGTTATTTGTTCACTGAAGATATAAGTGTAATATGATTTTCCAGGTATTTTAGGTGATCTAACGTATACCTGGAAATTAAGAGTATTATTGCTTGTCAATATTATGATCTGATAGAACTTTACTATCAACGTTTCTCAATCATTCATATTATGTTCGTTGAATTCCAATTTAAATACATTAATGGTTTAGTCCTGTGAAAACAAATCAAGCCGACTATTTTAAGTGTTTAGTTTTTTCTCCGAAAAAATATAAATATATAGTATTGTAAACGTATTATGTTAATGTTGTTAGTCACCGATTAGTGTACACTAAAAAAACTTAAACGCCATAAAATTGATCTTGCTTATTAGCTATTTGTTTGTGATTAGATAGTTCGAATATTTTTATTCATTCAGTATTTTCACCATAATATAAATAGTACGTAGTACATAGTATACATAGTATTTGAACGTTGTATACTGTATGATCATCCTGCATTTGTACTCATGATATATTTAATTTAATTTTTTATTTTTTACTTGATAATGTGACATTTATTATTTTTTATCGATTTAAGCGACACATATGATTTTTAAATTTAATTTTATACTCTTTGAATTACACTCAACATGAAAGTAGTAGTCACTGTTTTTATAATACTTATGTTTATATATATTATTATTATTATTACTTTTTTTTGTAACTAAAGCATATGCTGGTAACACCGCCATATGCCAATCAGGCGAAACGCTTTGTGTAGTCACCAACGCTTGTTTACCACCAGAATATCGATGCAACGGCTTGGTCGAATGTCCAGACGGAACTGATGAACTTATGTGTCCGAGTTCCAAAAGCAATCTTGAACCTGGTAAGTATCTACAAAAATTTTTTATTCGTGTCAGATATATTCCAGATATTTTTTTGTATTACAAATACCAAAGATTTGATGAGTGATGATTGAAATTTAATATCAAAACAAATTATTGGAGTAAATATTTATTTAACATTTACCTTTAAAAGATGGTGGTGTATACATTTTTAATTTGTGCATGATCATTTTAGTCAAACTTGCACTAGTATGTCTTCAAATGCACCATACATTTTAAGGATGCACAGTTGCACTGTTTTAATTACCCATGGATTATGATATGCACAGACGTATTATATGCGATATTAATAAATCGTTTGACTAAAGCGTTAACATTTTAAATTATATTTTTTTTCTGTTCGAAAGAATTATTATATTTTAAATGGAAATGTAAATTAATTTTAGGGAATATATACTATAATCTATATGATATTACCATTGGGGGGAAGGTAGCGATGTGTCTATCTTGAAAAATGTTTTTCATATTAGATTTTGGATGAAGTAGAAAAAAATTACTTAGTTCATAATGATATGCTATTACTTTTAAAGAAAAAATATTTTTTGTAAACTACTATGCAAGGTTTATATTGTTATACTGCATAACTAAAAAAATTGTTCGAGTAAAAGTTTCAAAAGTCTCATACATATTTGTATATGTGGGTGTGGGTGTGTATATGTGTGCATATGCGTGTCTGTATATACTATTCGTTTATATGAATTATAAATTGTACATATATGGGTACTGGTAAATAGATAATTTTTTTTTAGACTTTCCCCGTAATTTTAAAGAAAATGTTGAAAACTTCCAATAGAGTTTTGAAAAATACTGATATATTTATAGCGGATAAAATAGTAGATATAATAAATAATATTTAGAATTTTGACTGTTTTTTGTTGTTATAAATACCCATAAAAATTGTGTTTTAAAATATAATTTTTCCTAAATGTTGTACAATATAAAATTGGAAAAATAAAGATAAATTAAGATTGCCATTATTAGCTACGGAGAACAATAGTTTTTTGTTTCTGTTAAGTAAATATATAATATGATCGTATTTTTAATACACATAGTTCAAACGTAATCAAAACATGTTATAATTTATACAACAATAGAAAAGATATTTGAACACCTACAATGTTAGTACCATACGGTTTATTGTTGATTTTTTTCACGTTCAAAGATTTAACATTTTCCATTAAAAGAAACGTTTCGATTTTCTGACGCCTGACCTAACGTTAATGTCAACGTACTGCTGCCGTCATCTACAGTTCATGTCTCTTATTATTTTGTCAAAACATCTTTCGGAAAATCGCATAAAATGTACCGCTTAACGTTGACCTTAAACGTACGTATTTTGCTAACCACAGATACCGATTTTCAAGTCCGAAACTCAATTATTACATGTCCTCGGGGCGGAAATTTCTAAAGTGCTTCTCCGTTAATGGATTTAGGCATATTGCCAACATTTCAAACAATTCGAACCTAAAATTTTCACTGGGGTACCGTGATTCGATTTATTTTACTTAAACACACGACGACAACAACACTCAGGCAGGCAAAGTTTGACGACTAATACGTTTGTTAAAAAATATGTTAATTTAACGATCCATATTTATTAAAACGATAAAATTTCTTTAACCTAATGATATTGCGTTCCAATATCGATGTTTGTAAAACATAATACCTAAAAAAAAAAAAAAAAACTCGTTTTATTAATCAAAGATAAAACCAAATTAATTCATTAGGTACGAGCACTGATAATACTTTCTAATTAATACATTTCATTCGACGGCAAGAAAAAACACTAATGGGAATTTTCATTTCTGTAACACGGACCATTATTTAAATAAGCTACGCGCGTTCCAAGATGTTTATCGTGTACACGGTGTAACCCATTTTACCTTCGTATTTGTATCGCGTTCGTACGGAAAAGAATTGCACCACGCGCGTATAGGTTATTTAACAACCATTGCGTACCACCGGGTAACGAGGAACTGGTTACAATGAGTGAATCGATGAACACGAAAGCGCATGCAAAAAAGGTCGTAGGCATCAAGCGCTGTCAATAAATCAGTGCACGGTCGGCCGGTTCACGTGATCCGGGGATTTCTGTTGCGAAACCGCTCCCCGCCACCCGGTAAAATTTGATTAAAGGCTATGATATAAGACCGAACACGGGGCACTAAATCACAGCGGTTAATCAACGGATCGATTATAAAAACCTCGTGGAGTGCGTGCGAGGGTACACCTATCTGGTCGAACCGTCGGGCAGCAATTCATCCAACGCCCGAAGCGTATTATTTTCCGAGACAACTTTTACTATTATTATTGTTTTGTTAACTCCTCGCACACGTTAAGCGGACGAACCGTTTCCGCGGTCCTCGTTGCGCCGTATCGTTCAAGGATCGCAGCTGTGCTGCACAACTTCGCGTGAATTGCGTTCGAAACGTAATCGACGCCGTTAACGTGTTTCACGTGGGGGGGGGGAAGCTGTTGGTTTTCTTTATTTTCGCGTTCTGGTTTTCCATCTGCACACGATTATATATTGGAAGAACGACGTTTTACATGCGCGCGTCGACGAGATCCGTTTCAAAAACTGTAACTGTAAACTGTGTAGCCGCTTTGCAAAATGTTTTCTGAATCAAGTGCAGCAATAAGCCGCGTAAACGGTGTAGGCGGCAACTGTTTGTATTCCGCACGGTTTATTAATTATTTAATCGAATGCCAACGATTTTTACGAAAAAAATAAAATATATACACACCTATTATGTATTAACTTTATTATATTTTATATATTATCTACATAACAACTTAATTTAATCCAAGTACCGATAAGTATAAGACAAGTATCTAATTTAAGAGTTTCATAACTTAGCCTTAAATATTTTCAATAACGTGTGTTGTATTCTTTTAACATCATAATATAATATTATAATCACTATAGATATAGATTAATAACTAACGCAGTGTAATTTAAGCTGATTTTAAAAAACAATTATTATTTTATTCACAATAAAATTAAATTATATAAAGTTGTAATATAGAAGAACGAGATACTTCACAAAATATAATAAAATTAATATCAAGTAAATGAATAAACATATTATGTTCATATAATACACTAGTAGTAGTTTAAATTTGAATAAAGAGTTAATAAAAAAAAATTGGCGCATAGAAAATCATATTAATTTTACGATTATTATAATAAAAGTTATCACATAGTGATGTCATAAATATTAATAAGTATACCTACTGTTTAAATATAGTGTTGGATTGCTAAAAAGTATGAAGCAACTAATAGTTTCTGCCATGTTTTTTAACTGAAGGTCAACAATTCTCCTCTCAAAAAATTGTTGGTGACCACGTGCATAGGTTAAAGTAATTTAAATTTAACAAATTATGAAGTGATTATTTCGTTAATATTCGTTCAGATTCACTTTTCAATAAAATATATTTTGCAAACAGAATTTCTTGTTTAATAAATGTTTAATTAAATTTCTCTATTAAAATAAAAAAAATCTTGAAAAAACATTGTTGGTCAGATTTCAAGGTGAACAGAACGTTCTGTAATCAATATTAAAAAACATCTGTTTCCTAATATTATCGTTTATTAAATGGTATTACACGATATCGTTCATCAATATTTTTGACATTTAACATGAAATTATGAACGGTAATAATTTTTTCGCGTTTTTCAGTGTGTGCCAATGATGATTTCCAATGCGATGGTACTAGATGTATTCACAAGTCACAAGTGTGTAACGGCGTGGTTGATTGTTTAGATCAAACTGACGAGCAGAGTAACTGTCCACCGACCACAGGTAATTACATATTTTTTTTATTCGACCATGTATACGTATACATCGTAATACGTAGTAGCAGAGCTATCCGTTTGAATGATGGTGCTCCCCTTGTATAACGAAAGGAAGTTTATTGAACAGTTTAAGAGTTCGACCGCAGAGTAGATGTACTATTGATTATTACTGAAGTCGACGATTCAAATTTTCGTAGACAATTGGGTTCAAATCAAGTTTCATGTTCCTTTTGATTGCTTTGTCATATCCCAAACCTGTATGATCATTTCAGAAGACAACGTAGAGACCAAAACTGAGGTTATTAGTCATGGAACATATTTTATGAACAACGTAATATGTACCTATTTCTTCTTTGTAATTTACAACATTCGTAGCCCAACATGGAAATTATGAAAATTATCAACGCACGAATAAAGCGATTTGAATAAATGAAATGAAAAAAACCAACACTAACCCATACGATTTACTCGTAAAATCGCATAGCACAGGGAATATATTTGCAATTGTTCAAGTTTGTTCGCACGTTTTCAACTACGTACGTTTTAATTCAACACATTTCAACAAGACGTATTGTTTTAACGGAAATATTTCGAATAATAAATCACAGAAAGGCCATTTTTCACGCGGTTAAAAAATACTAAAAATATTATCTCGGTCGGTTACTTTAGTTCTCAAGATGCTCAATGGCCTTCCTCGCAACCATGCATTTCGTCCGAATTCAAATCTCGTACGAACGCGCTTTACACTTCACATCAATCAGTGTTGTAGATTACGTATGTTACGTAAAATAAATAATAAAAATGAAAAAAAAATCTCGTGCGGTCAATCGCCAACACTGTAAAATATGTAATTACCATAATAATTTCTTAAATATTTTTTACTTTTATTTATTTTTTTAATTTTTTTTTTTTTTTTTTATGTTTTTCGTTTGAACTATAATAACAGACTGTTTACCTTTCTTTCGGTCTGCGGTGTCGGCCGGTTCTTTACTTGTGGACAGGTAGCCACCGGCTAAAACATAATATTACGTTTAATAATAATACCCGTATGGCCCGTCTCGTATGGGCAACGTACGTGTGTCGAACGTTCCACGCGCGGGCGCATTATCCCGATACAGGTACTGCAGGTACGCCGAAGATATTATTTAATTTTCTGATGTCATAAACGCCAACGATTTCCGCTTGCCACCGATGTTTTCTTATCTAATAGACGTTCGCACACGCGAACACGCGCTGTCCTTGCGTTAGCGTGTTCCGCACGGCGACGACGGTGCGTTATTAAATTATTAGCGGGTTTGCTTCAAAAATGAATCGATATTGCGCACAACTTGCGCAGGTGTTGTCTTACAAGATTTTCATGTACACCTATTGTTACGATCGTTCGTACACTTTAGGTGGCCAATTAGTGGAATGGTAATGTAATGCGGTTGTGATTTTCTTTTTTTTTTTTCAAATATTTTTAATCACTCGATAAAAAAAATAAAAATAATAATGATTAACGAGTGTAACGAATGGTATCGAGGTGGGTGCATTTGAGCAAATGCATTCGATACTCGTAACGCTTTGGACGAGCCGAGTTATACGGCTTCGTCGGTGCGTTAAATTATATGCTCCGCGAAATATTTCGATGGCATCTGTATTGAAAACTAATAACATGAATGTACCATCTGTCAGTGCGGTTCGCGAGAAAAACTTATAGGAGTAGCACAACAACGAGATGAATTAACAGTTCGGCTGCGAAGACTTTTTTTCTTTTTTCTTTGCTTTTGTAACCAAATGCAAATGTGTAATTTTTTTAACTTTTGTACGATAAATGTTTATCGTAGCCTTCAAATCATCATTGCTTCTTCAATCGTTATCTTTATAATATATGATGAACAAATCTCACAATGAAAACGTGTAAAAAATTTTTCTCTATTTTTATAAGATTTAATTGAAATGAAATTTCCGTCTACGTGCGTATGCGGATTGAATACACTGTACAAATATGCACTAGACAACTAGTTCGTAAATACGAGTATTAACAGTGATCAGACATTTACATTTTTTTCTTTTTAATCTAAAATAGTTTTACGATTATATGAATTCCAGGTTTACCGGCATTCGGTCGATGCACAATAACGTTGCCAATTCATACAATTAGATACCGTATATGTATATCCGTAGTAAAGTTAATCTACACAATGGTTAATATTTTCAATTGAAGTATTTTCAAGCAACTCCGTACGCATTTCAGTTCTAATAAACACAATCTAATGGCATGTACATTTTTTTATCAAACGATCTTTCATTGCTCTGTGTACATTTCTTAAATATATTTCATGAGCTTCGGTTATTTCATTTCGCGTATTAACAACAATTTAAATTAATAATTGTATACATACAATACTCACTTTTATATTATGGATATTTGAACGCAAGAAGAAATTTAAAAAAAAGAAGAAATTCTGTTAATAAACCGTGACTAATACAGCTAGTGAATAAAAAAATACTCGAAACGAATGAGACAAAATTTATTTTCAATTTTAAACACGTATTGAACTTTTTTCCATAACTTAAATATGGGTGCATGATAATGATTCTTTAGTAGTAGTTAATGCGGTTCTTCAGATTGCATTATTCGTCAATGAGCGAATATCGGTTGTCCTTGCGATCGGTCCATGCCCCTAGCTATCGGTGCGTGGCCAAATTCTAGAATATCGGTGGGCCTACACACTTGTATGAATAACTCGTATAGTATTATTTTTCGTACTCAAAACAAATAGAAACAGACTATTCAGGCACTGTTTAGAGAACAATAACGTGTAACTAATACATTCTATATGCGATGATATTCAAACTGAAAATATGATTTTATTTTGCATTGCTAATATCATAAATACACATGAATGTTAATGTGAAAAATTATACATTTTTTACCCGGGTTAAATGACCAGAGATCTATTCATCTTTCACAAGTAAACTAAATGAGTAAAAATTTAAATAATTCACATTTTAGGTATGTATGAATATAAAATTTCTTTTTTTCATTATACAATATTATATTATAAGCTATCAACAATTTGAAGATAAAATTCTTAATTTCCGTTATTTGTGTAAAATTGTTTTTGTGTATAAATTAGATTTTAATCTAATTTTTACTAAATTTTATATCCACTTTATTATATCGTTCTATATAATCACTTTACATTGAATTGTTTCCAAAACTTCATACCATGATAAAGATGTAACTTTTTTACAAATGTATATCATAATCTTAACATTTTGTTAAAGAGAAACATATATTTTTTATCGCCATGTTTTCAACAAAAATTTTTTCTCTGGAAATCCCTGCATAAAAAACCAATACTCAATTTTTAGCTAAGATTTATAAATATTTAAATTTAATTTTACTGGAGTAGTGTACGGAGTAGTGTTTTTACGATTTTCAGGGTTTTGGCTTACCATTCCCTTTATTGAATAAAACTGTATTTCAAATTCCTAATCTTCCGAATTTCCGAATTTTTATGACCAATTAAAATCATTTATTTTAATTATTTTAATTTTAGTTACAAAAACTCAAAATTTAAATACTTTTTGAGTTAACTGAACCATTAGTTTACCATTCTGTAGTTTTATCACTTAATCATAATTATAATTAATTTTTAAAAAAGTTAAATACTTATTTAAACGAAACCAATTGTATGCAAAAATATATACAATAATTTGTCATAGTTAAATTTTAATTTTGAACTAGCAAATTTCTTGACATGTCATTCATAAAAAACAAAAATGTTTTTAAGAGTCCTTAATTGTCCATAGAACGATGATGTATAACAATTAAAAAAACATCCAATATATGTGACAAAAGAAAAGACTTTGATGGTAAAAACGACAACTTTTGTGTTGAACATAAATGCATATTTAATTGGCCTGAATTACCTCGTATTTTATGACATGTATAATAAATAACTTTCATTAAGATAATACGCCAATTGATACTTAAATGAGTATCAGTGATTCCACATCCCTGAGATGATTGATAAACATTTATTTAAATTTAACAACAAGCGTAGATACGATTTTATGGGTTTTCAAATGGAATATGTAATTTACATTGAAATTTTTTTATTCGTGTGAAAAATGTACAGCAAATATACTTGAATAGCTACCTACACTCTCAACAGCTTCTATGCAGAAACCCTAATAATAGATTAAATGTGTAACAAATTCATTGATCGTCCGTCATAAAATAAGCAATGACATCATCAGTCATTAGTGTAAATGTTTAACACTCTAGACCTTAATGTTCTTAAAAATCCTTGAAAATGTATTTAAAAACATAAAACATTCATTTACATTTAATAGTCCCATAAAATATATATTTGTAAAGCGAAATATTGTTGGTTTTCCAACACTCAGTCTTTGAGAACAATTTTTTTTTTAAATTTTAGATAAAGTAAGGATCCTACTTAAAGTTGACGGACGATATTTTCAGCTATGAAATCGTTAAAATTGTAATATTGAATACACTTTTATTGGAGGTAAAAAACATAAACATTTTAATATTTCGTTTAATTAAAATAAATCGAGTTGGATGCACAATATAGTTTATAACATTTCAATCATTATTTTACGAATAATTCTAAAAAACGTTGAAAATTAATAAACATGTTGAAAGACTTCTAACAGTTGCGTCTATCTTTGGTTACTATATTTATTTTTACAACAGTGCTCCCAAATACGAAGATCTATACATTTCACATAAATATTGATAAAATCATTGTATTAGTTTTATATTATTAATCGTTTGTATCAATAAAATTATTCACAAATTTAAATTTTTTTGTCTTTTTATTGGGTTGTTTCTTTTAAAAACAGTTTTTAAATACCTATATTCAATGACTTTTGGTTTCATTTAATTTCTCCCCATTTAGATACTATACATATAATTATGTAAGATCACTCGTTACATCAATGCTCCGCTCACTGTTAACATCGTATTCTTAAATGCGTATATATACTATC